GAATTAATTATTGCACACAAATGACGCCTTGGCTGCATATAGTTCCTCTCCTCGTTTGATGTTTCCATTCACTTGCTGCAAGTGTGTTTATGCCCTACTTGGGAATTTTTATCGCTGTCAAAATACAGAGGTGGACTGCTGGATGATGACACAGTGGAGGAAGAAAGCCTCCAGCAGTTTTCTGTCAGGCTTCTCTACACAGAGCACAACGTGGAGGCCTCAGGGATCTGCAGGGGGTCAGGAGGTGCCACTGCTGGACATATTTAGTATTCAGTCACAGTTCGCTGTGCAGTAGGGAGACGGCGGAGTCATTGCTGCAGCTCGCCCCTCCACATGCACACACACCTCCTGCACGTCTTTATGAAGGCCTCCAGAGGACCGAGGGGGTCAGCAGAAATGTCAACCAGTCGGTCGCAGAGGAGGCTGATGGAAAAAGCTCAGCTTCACTCCTTTTCCGAGCACATACCATGTTTGTGTGCATTTTTCTCTGCATTGCACAAAAACCCAGTATCTCTGAACAACACAATCATCGTCTCTCCCACTGAAAACACAACTCGACTGCATGAGCTCATCTCTCTGAAGAGTTTCTCTTGCTGTGACAGAATCAGAAAACACTTCTGCTGTCATAAAAGCTAATGACACGAAAATGGTGCTCTAAACTTTATTTTGTTAGCGGGAGAATTCCAGCTCAATCACTGACAAGCTCATCAGCTGTATATGAAAAGCTGCCAGCAGTACGAGCCGTTCCAGTGAAGAGGGAGTCTCTATCAGGATTATTGCCGTCGCACAGAGAGCTGCTGAAGAGATGTGAAACAAATCACACTGCACACGGAACGCCTGCTTCCACCGTGTTTGCTAGTGCGGTAGCCGTGTTCAATTCACTTATTTATGTTGTTCTCTACAGAAACATTCCATTAGAAAATCAATTCTAAACAACACCTACAGTGTGTTTGGGCCCTACAACAGGCCAAGGTAATGTGTGTTTCCATTGAGAGGCAATGCTATCGCAGCACAAACACTGGAGGAAAAGGTGTTTTATAGCTCCGGCAAAATGGTGGCGTGACTGATTGTAAACAAGGGTGACATGATTTATACATGCAGCGATTTTATCCTGGAAAACATGCGACCTCAGCGTTAAAGGCTTCTACAGTGGTCGGGTTTCAGTGCTTGTTTTGAGGCGGTATCTTCAGCTTGTTAGTGAGTTCCAGGGGAACTAATCACCTGTCTGCATGTGGAGAAGGCCGGCCAGGGTTCTTGTTATTGTTTCTACGATTGCAGCTCTTCCTGGTTGGATGAGATGAAGCTCAGGCTGATATAGAAATCACAAGTGATGTTGCTTCAAATCACTTTGTTCGTTTTACTTCAGAGATTCTTCGATGCTGATTGTGGAATTTGTTCACTTATTATCTAAAGTACATACGACATTAGGTGAAAGCATCACTTTTCAAATGGAGTTACTTCCCGACCTTTACCCGTCCTTCACTTTGAGAGCATTGTTACTGCACTCCCTCCAGATCCTGCCCCTCTTTTTTCCAAATAGCCCCTGCTTAGGTCCAAATCTGCTCCTGCTCAAAACTGTTTGTCTGCACTCAGATATGCTGCTGCTACACAAATGTCCTGTACTTCAGTCTGAGTCCATCTCCTCACTCTCACACTGCTTCTAAGCATCAGACTTCTGCTCTCAGATTTTAATCCCAGATCTTGGGGAAACAACCCTTTTGTAAATTACGTATATAACACGTCATTAAG